CCCCAAAACCCCAAAACCCCAGAATTACTTTATTATAGGTTAATTTAGATATTCTTAGATATTCTTAATTATTTATCTAATTAATCTTATATTAAAATTTCTATAAATAAAGCAATGGACGTTTACAAAATACTCGTGGTAGGAGAAGCTAAAACAGGCAAATCAACCTTAATCTAGAGCTACCTACAATCCGACTTAGGTGAACCAGAAGGCATGAAGACTGCTTCGTCAAGGAATACATTTTTGCCATCTCAAAACAAAAATAGCACTAATAGCTCAACGATGGACTTCGTGCTCAAAATCTTAAATGTTAATGGCCAAAAAGTGAGAGTGCAGCTGTGGGATATGGCAGGTGGCCAAGATACTACCTCTGCCTTCGCGCCTTTATTCATTAGAAACGCAGTAGGATGCATAATTATCGCCAGCTCAAATAATCAAAAATCAATCAATGAGTAAGGTGAATTCATTTGAAGATTTTAGGTGCCAGAAGTGGAGATAAAACTTCAACTTGCATACAGACATTCCAGGTTTACCTTCTCTTCCAGCTGCGCTAGTTGTGAATCACTGGGGAGATACCAAGATATATCAAGCAATTAGTGTGAATTAGAACCTTAAGAATCAGTGTGACAGTCTAGGTCAGCAGCTGGAGTTATAAGTGCATCATGTTAATGCAATTACAAATGAGAACATCCCCGATGCCCTCGAATAGTTCATTTAGGCTATACTTGATGATTAAGAGAAGAACAGAGCAAAGAATGATATGCTGGATGATCTTTGGGATGAATCCTTCAAGCATAAAAGCACTAACAGACCTGATATCAAACTTAATACAGGATCTAACGTAAGCATGCCGTCAGTAATCAATTACGGAAGTGTCAATAAAAGATAGAGTGTTTAGCTTACTAATCCTAATAAAAGTGATAAAGATCTTAAAGTTTAAAGAAAAAATTGTATGTGCTGATTAATCCTTCGATAAACAGTAATTAGCATATGGCAGATATCTAGAATATTTTATAAATGTAAGATTTAATTTATTTTATAATACTTATTTGAACACTTACATAGCGGGGTTTTGGGGTTTTGGGGTTTTGGGGTTTTGGGG